GGTTTTTGACACCTGAGAGACACCGTAGCAACTCCTTTGCGTTTGGAAGTGGGGGTGGGGGCGGGGGGAGGACCAGGGAGGATGATTCAACCACTCAAACACTAGATGTCGCTGAAAACAACAAATCCTACACACTGTGCCTTTAACAAATAAAACCTGAGCTTTAACGGCGCGCTGCTCTAAAATTAATGCTTCAATAACCGACAATCTTGGTGCTTCAAAGAGATTTGGGGATAAATGCCTGATTTGTGCTCCAGGTGCTCGTTAGTGTTTTGATCTGTGAATCGATTCATGATTGTGAAAAGTGTTGTAAAACTCCATTTATTCTTTTTTTTGTGGAGGAACATTTTTGGAAACCCGGCCTTAGTTTTATAGGGTCGGTGTTTGCATTATGGGTTCAAGTGTTCTGAAAGATTAAGGGTCTTAAAAACAGCTTTAATGATATTTTACAACTTAGTGTACAGAATGTGCTTGATTAGAACAAGATCCTAAAGAAATGCTTTATTAGTGATTATTACTTTGAAACTTGCTAAACCAAATCAAATTTTAAGTCATTTTTACTAAAAAAAAATGTAACAAATGCTAAATGCTAACTTTTCAGACATGAGTCAGTTTTCTTGCTTTTTCATATATATTTTCATTCCACGACATATCTTCAAAAAGGGGTAAGAGTAATTATGAAATATTTTCTAGACTTTAGCTGTATTAGGCAAAAAGATACCACACAGTATTGAAAATCATCAACTTCCCTTTTGCACCTAAAACGTTTCTTTCCTCTGAGATGATCCAGTTTGCTGTTGGTTGCAGTTTTTTTTTATTTTAGATGGTTTGAAATTGTGAGAAGCAGTAAAAATATACTAACAGTTACATTGTATTTTTGCAAATGTGTTCAAGATTTAAATTTAGGTATAAAAATATATATATTTTCCGCACTTGTTGATTTGATAATCGTTTTGATTACTGATGTGGATTCTCAAAGCAACTCGTTTCTCAGTGACGAGTGTTTGAGCTCTAGTTTTAAAGATCTGACAAACAGTAATGAAATGAATCAAGTATTATCCTGTTGGAATGATGACATTTCACACAGGAACAGCAGGTGTGCTAACGGAGGTGGGAATGTGCTGACTCAGCACCTTCCTGAAGCACGCCCGCTCCTCCCCAACACCTCCTTTCACAGACAGTGCTTTGAAACAAAAAAAAAGTGAAACTTCCTTTACAGATTTCTTTGGATTTAGCTTTGTTTTTGTCACTTTAATGTTTATCACGTGCGATGGGTAAAATGCAGACTTAATTTCCCCACCAGGGAATCAATAGTGTATAAAAAATAATAATAATAAAAAAGTGGGTTTTCTCGTGCTAACCACATTATGTCGTTAAACCATGGTAAAAAAAAAAATTCTATGCGGAAAACGTCCGCTCTGCTTTCATACGTTTGATCTGAAGTGTGACAAGAAAAGGAAAAAAAGCAGAAGAAATCTGTAATTGTCAGCACTGTTCATGTGTTAGCATTATTTCCACCCTCAGACATCAGGTGTCCATTTTTGAAATTTCGATTTAGTTTGTTAGAACGAAAACTCGAGCTTCATTTGGATCCTTTTTTCTGCCCATCTTGAGGGGAAATAAACAGATGAGTGTTATTCTGAAGTAACCGTGGAACAACTGTAAAACCCGAGTTCAGCTAAGAAACAAAATCAGAGTAAAACATTGAATGTATCTTAGTGGATGCCCCCGATGCAGGACTTTTGAGTTCATCCCATATTACAGTTCCGAGCAAACCTGTAAATATCACTAATTATTGCTCATTTTGAGTGTATTTTTTTAACGCTGTCCAGAACCCTCCACATCCAACTAAACCACTGTCACTCCTGTAAATGAAATAAAGTTGTAAATGGTGTCAATAACAAATTTTCTTTTGTAAAAGAAAGGTTTTAATAAGAAGTTTATGGTAACGCTCTATTTTCTTTTTTTCCCTCTAGAACTGCTAATGTACATGAGAGATGTGTAATATAGAAATTGTGACATTAATAAATGAAATTTTAAAAACTACATGTGTATGGTGTGTAGCACGAAAAAGAAAACGTGTGGCTGTGTGTGAGCCCAGAACAAGACTTTCTTTATAATGAACCATCACAAGAGTCATTTCTGCTCTTTGGCTCACTGATAAAATGTGTTCAGAGGCACAAAATGAGCTGTAACTCCGGTTTTCAACTGGCGGCCCATGGGCCATTTTGAGTTCATTCAAAGGGGGGTTTTGCGGCCATGTGGATGACATAAAACTTAAAATATATAGTAAAATGTTTATTATTTTAACACCTTAGGACAAATGAAAAACCATAATCACATAAGGAAAATACTGTATTGAATTTATATCCTTGTTTATTAAACTATAATTGAAGTATGCAGGCATATTTTTTTATTATCTAGTCTAGTATTAAAGGTCTTTTACAGGTAACCCTGATGGATTTAAGAAAAATATATTAGTTGATTACCGAAGTGGCCAACAGGCTACTAGCATGATCACAAATTGCTAAAGCTAGCCTTTTTTGTTGTGACAACCAAAAACTTTTAATCTCGTGGTTGCAGGTTGCAGACCCTTGCTCTAAGCATCTGCTAACGTCAAAAGCAGCACAGTAGCCCCACATCATGAAGAAACCTCTACCGTGTTTTAATCAGGGATTTAATTTCRTTGCGTAAGGAACATCGCTTTCTGATCGCACCGTCCGTCACATTTTGAGTCATGAGTTCCATGGAAGAAGACCCAGGAGGTCTTCACTACTGACAGGATAAAAAAAACAGGAATTCACCAAAATGCATGTTGACATGTCCCGAAGATTTTGATGAGACAAACTGGAGCTTTTTGGCCGTGCACATCAGTTGTGTTAGTCTGTGCTGCACTACTACAGCCTTATTCCAGGGTTCATGCAGGTTTCAGTAAGTTAAATTTAAAGGGATCCCCTGATTAGTTGTAACATTAGACTTTATTTAATAAACATATATTTTAACAGTAAAATAAAAACTGTAAAAATACTGTAGGATGTTTAGTTTTTATAATTTTTAAACTAAAAGTTTGAAAACATATTACATGGACGGGGCCATTTTATTTACACTCAAAGCATTCTGGGTAAATGATGACGTGGATAGGTCCTCGGTGTTAGCGAGCTATATCCACCCTGAAGATTAATCTTGGACAATATCTGATGATCGACTCTTTTAAATGAAACCAGAGAGCGTTGACAGAGAGGAGAAGGTAGAAATGACTCAGCCTGGAACTGAAAATATGGATGGAGGACCTCAGTTTAGCTTGTTTGTCGCGCTAGCACCGAGCTAATACATATAAGGCAATAAAGCGTCGGCGCTAGCGCAAAGGCTAACAGGCTAAGCTGAGGTTCTTCTTCCATGAAGCAGCTCTGTTGTCCTCCATCCATATTTTCAGTTCCAGGCTGAGTCATTTCTACCTTCTCCTCTCTGTCAACGCTCTCTGGTTTCATTTAAAAGAGTCGATCATCAGATATTGTCCAAGATTAACCTTCAGGGTGGATATAGCTCGCTAGCAGCCTCACACCGAGGACCTATCCACGTCATCATTTACCCAGAATGCTTTGCGTGTAAATAAAATGGCCCCGTCCGTGTAACACTTAACATCCTACAGTATTTTTACAGTCTTTATTTTACAGTTAAAATATATGTTTATCAAATAAAGTCTAATGTTACAACTAATCGGGGATCCCTTTAAGATCATTAGGAATGACATTTAAACTGACGCATTGACAAAAACATTCAAATGATGCCAGAAATTTTATCATAGAAATCTTTTCAATTTAGCTATTAAATTATTAATTTTAATATAAGAACACTTATTTTAATGAAACGGTCATTTTAGACCTTCATATCAACTGCTGCGGACCGCTTCCAACAGAGTGCAGAAATCACTGATATCAAGCCAAGTCTCGTAGAAAACACACATTCCCATGTTTAAACCACAAGCAGTGGACATGACTGAACGTTGTTTTTTGAGCAGGTGAACAAGCCGCCGTATGAGGGAGATTATAGCGGCAAAGAGGTCGAAAACATGGAAGTAAACTGTGCTGTCTTTTTGCCTGCAGTTATCACGGGATTTGTAGTTTAACCACATCCAAAGACCGGTAGCAAACTTAGCACTTCATGAAGACGGATGGCGTCAACCTCAAATTACAGAGCTTTACTCCGTTTATGCAGCCAACGCTTCTCGGGAATGATTGAAAGTAAAAAAAAAAAAAAATTAAGACTTGAAAATTTTAAATTGAAGACCTTGGATGAAAATCTTGATTTTCAAATTTTAGACTGTGTTTTTAGACTTTTTAAGACCCTGCATGAACCCTGTATTTACAGATCAGAGGGTTCCATATCTTGCCCAAGGATATTTTGAACCTTCCTATTGGCAGAAACGACACTTCCTGTTGACCGCACTTCTCAACATAGTTTTACACCAAAAAGGTACAAGCTGCCAAATAATAATATAAATGTTTTAATATAAAACAAAAACTGAAATAATTTCCCAGATTTTATATATATATTTTTATAATAAATAAATAATAAATAATTGAGTTTGTTAAGCGGGGTAAATCCAGGAAAGGTTTTTGAATTGAACTACAAACAAGATGTCTGTAAACTGTTTCGGTCTTTACTCTGGATCTGCACCAGCGTCTCACCATCATCATCATCATCATCATCACCGTCATCATCATCATCCACCCTGTGGTGCTTCTCTCCTTCAATCTGATCTTTAATGGCAGTAATAGCAGCCTGACATCCTTCATCAGTCCCTTCTTCCTCGTCCTGCGGCTGGACTTCCTGGAAGCAGTCGTCCTCCTCTTCGTCGTCTCCGTCAGTCTGCGGCCCGTTGGATCTCCTCCCCAGGTCGTGCTCTTCCTCCTGCTCCTCGGCTGTGGTCTCTCCCGCTGCCTCGTCTCCCTCCGCCTCCCCCATCCCTCCTTTAGCTCCTGTCCCGTTTCCTGCGGCGGGACATTTGTGGTCTCTGTAATAGCTCTGCCTGGTGAAGCCCTTGTTGCAGGTGGAGCACCTGAAGCGGTAGTTGTCTGTGTGAGACTGCTGGTGCTCGAGCATGTGAGCCCTGCGGCTGAACGTCTTCTGACAAAACAAACACTTGTAGGGTTTGATACCTGGAGAGAGAGGGATTCTGAGCTTAAAAATACATAAAAATAACTTTTATTATCAACTTTATAGATAGTGAGATATTTTATCACATCAGACTGTGCATAATGTTGGGAGTTTAACCAAAATTGTTGCAACTCTGTCATTTAACATGAAAGTTTAGCATTWAAGGAGTCCCTGATTAGTTGTAACATTAGACTTTATTTGATAAACATATATTTTAACTGTACAATAAAGACTAAAAATACTGTAGGCTGTTCAGTTTTGTAAATTTTTAAAAATATATTTTAACACGGACGGAGTAATTTTATTTACACACAAAGCATTCTGGGTAAATGATGACGTGGATAGGGCCTTGGTGAGAGGCAGCTAGCGAGCTATATCCACCCTGAAGGTTAATCTTGGACAATATCTGATGATCGACTCTTTTAAATGAAACCAGAGAGCGTTGACAGAGAGGAGAAGGTAGAAATGACTCAGCCTGGAACTGAAAATATGGATGGAGGACCTGAGTTTAGCTTGTTTGTCACGCTAGCGCTGAGCTATACACATAAAAGGCAATAAAGCGTCGGCGMTARYGCWAAGGCTAACAGGCTAAGCTGAGGTTCTTCTTCCATGAAGCAGCTCTGTTGTCCTCCATCCATATTTTCAGTTCCAGGCTGAGTCATTTCTACCTTCTCCTCTCTGTCAACGCTCTCTGGTTTCATTTAAAAGAGTCGATCATCAGATATTGTCCAAGATTAACCTTCAGGGTGGATATAGCTCGCTAGCAGCCTCACACCGAGGACCTATCCACGTCATCATTTACCCAGAATGCTTTGCGTGTAAATAAAATGGCCCCGTCCGTGTAATACTATATTTTAAAAAATTATAAACATCCTACAGTATTTTTACAGTCTTTATTTTACAGTTAAAATAAATGGTTATCAAATAAAGTCTAATGTTACAACTAATCATGGATCCCTTTAAAGGCAGCATGTCATATCCTTTAAGGAATACTGAGTCTTTATTTTTTTTTGTTTTATTTTTAACTCACCAGAATGTGACAAGATGTGAGCTTTGAGTTTGTCTGGTCTGTTGAATTCTTTGGTGCAGCCTACGTGTGTCCTAATGAAGCATTATAAAAACGAAGAGTTAAGAGCTTTTTATTCCTCTTAATTAGATGTTTTTATTCAGAGACTCACTTGAAGGGACACTTGTATTTCTTAAAGGGTTCGTGGATGAGCATGTGTCGCTTCACTTTGTCTTTTCTGTTGAACGTTGCCTCGCAGAGTGAACACTTGAAAGGTTTTTCACCTGCAAACAGAAATTCGAACACAAGCGAACACAAAGTTTATCATAAACCAGGATTCAACTCTAAAACTAACAAATATGCTCTTTTTCAACTGGTTTGAATGAAGTTTAATGTGGGGAAACTGGAGGTTTCCGGACCTGAGTGAATTCGAGTGTGCAGTTTGAGGTAGTGCTCCGTCTTGAAGGCCTTCTTGCAGATCTGACACTTGAACCTTCCTCCGACGCCGTGAGTGGGGAGGTGACGTCTGAAGTATCTCTCGCATGGAAAAACCTGCCGACGGACAAAAACAAAGCGCAGATTTTAAACACACAAGTCCTACATATCTCCCGTTTACACCATGCTGATTGTGGGTGAAACTGCAGATTCTCTGCTGCGTTCTGGCCGATGACACCAGCCGTCCATCCTKGTCTCAGAGTGGAGATTTTCAGGAGATAAAAATAAAAACCTTTTTTTTTGCCCCTTTTTCTGTGCACATTTTCACCAAACAACACGGACCTTATCTTACAACACTCAGCATGTATGACTGAGTGAGTCATATACAGCATATCTGCTGTTTTGACTCAAATGGTCATTTTAAAAGAACAGAGAGACACTTTATTATGTCTCATTTGGCAACGCTGCCTGGTGGTTCCATGTAAACGGGTGATTTTTTTTTGTGTATTCACCCCAGTAAACATTAGCATTTCCAGAGACCAGTCTCGTGTAATCAGGGTGTAAGCGTGAACGTTTTAGTAGCTTCACGTCTTCGGGTGTAATGTCAGGAGATGAACCTTTGGACAGTGTGGGCAGGGGTAGCTGTGTGAGGCCGTCAGTAGATGCTGTTCCAGAGCTTCCTGGGTTGAATATCTGCTCTGGCATTTCACACACCTAAAGGAAAACAAAGCAGACGTGAAGAACAGTTAGCTGCAGTCAGAAAAACAAGTCAAATTGATTACAAAGGTATTACTGTTATGTCTACAGTCAAAGATTAAACAACCTCTTGTAGGCTTTTCCTACATTTTATATTAATGGCAATTTTATGATTGAGTTTCAGGTAAGCAAGTAAAGTTTGTTWATATAGCACCTTTCATAGATATAAAATCACAAAGTGCTTCACAATATCACAGTATTCATTTAAAGAACAAGTAAAATACAGGTTAGAAAAAACTGACAACTTAGCTAAAAGCCTAAAAGATATGCACTTATTTATCAATGCAATCATTTAAAGGAGCAATATCATGTAAAATCAACCTTTTTGAGTTTTATATCATGTTAAAATGTTATACTCTCATAAAAAACATGCCCAAAGCCTTGCTTTGACTCATTCATGCATGTTTGAGAAATCCTGCAGCGTTTTTAGGAAGCCATGCTGAGGAGCAAAACGACAGGTGGGGACCAGAAACGCCTTTTGGTACCAGAAACGCCCCTGGGACGTGTCTTTAAGCCGAACTTCCCCATCACGGAGCACACCTCCCCACCCCACACACCCCGCCCATGACTTCTGCAGGCTCTCAGCAGTAACAGAGCAAACGAGTGAAAGTGAAACTTAAACTGTCTGCTGCGCTCCTAACATTAGTTCTCACTCAGTGAAGCTCTTTTCAGATTCAAAATACCTTTGAGGAAATGTATTTTCAGATGCCAAGTAAACTGCATCATAGCGTGCGCATGACCCCCCCAAAAAAAATGGGCGAGACAGAAGCGGAAGGAGGTTCTTAAAGAGACAGAGGCCAATTTCAAGGCATTTAGAAGAGGAAGTGATGAGAAGATAAGTTTATTTTCTATTTAAACATAAAAACAGCATTTTAATAACAGCTAAATGTGACATAGATACTTTATTATGGTATAGAATTTAAATATATGCCTGAGAAACACATAATATTGCCCCTTTAAACAGTAAGAGAAACTACAAGTCTGTCATTAGCGTGCCTCGATCCAGCAGTAAAAACACAATGTTTTACATTTCAGGAATGTAGAACTGTTCTAAGAGTACTTCCTTGTTTATTGTGACATCATATCCTGGGTGGACCACATCGCTGTAAACCTTCAAGGCCGAGTACTGGACCGGTACTGGACCGGTTTCCTGCACCTGATTCAGGTTCTCGTTGCACTTTCAATATTTAACAATCTTAACCTTTAAAGCAACTCATAAATCCAGCTGTTTGAACAAATTAAATTGTGTTTTATCACTACGTCAAGGAGCATAAACAGTTAACCGCCCTAACCCCACCAACGAACTGATGTGTTTTTATTCTCTGAGCGGACTGACCGGTAGACGATGGTTTCCTTGCGTGTGTTCTGCTGTGGGCAGAAGCAGTGGGAGTACTGGTGCACTCCCAGCTCAAACAGGGAGGGGAAGACTTTGCTGCAGAGGTGGCAGCGATACGTCAGCTGCTCCTGGTGCGTTCGGATGTGTTCCAGGAACTGGTCCAGCTTGTGGAAGGTCTGGGAGCAGGACTTGACCACRCACTTATAAACCTGCAGATTTGTTTTTGTATTCAGTCTTAAAGGAAGTAAGTCTTGTGTATTTTTACACGTGTATTTCTCGTTTACGAATGACGGCACTCACCTGCTCCCCTTTGTGCTGGGTCAGGTGGGACTTGAGCTGGAAGTAAGTTTTGAACTTGTTGGCACAGAACTGGCACTGATAGGAGCTGTCAATCACCACGACCTGCCGGGTCCGAGCGTGGCACTGCTGGTTCTGGTCGGACAGCGCCTGCATCTGGACCTGAGGGTGACCGCTCTGCGTCTCGTCCCCGTGGCTGACGGTTGGGTCGGCCTGAGCCTCGCTCACACTCTCCTGCAGCTCCTCTGGTGTCTCTGGGACCAAACATCAGGTTTACTGGTGTACGCCGACGACTTCCTATTTCCTCCTCCTCCTTTTTCAGCTCGTTCAGGATGCGGGTGTTAAAAATCTCAGAGTTACCTTCTTGTATCGACTCCTGTTCTGTTGTGTGCTGGCTGCGGTGCGGCCGCGATCCGTCCTCGTCCCGTTCAGCTTGTTTCTGCTGCTCCCCGTCCCGTTCTTCGCTCGTCGACACGGGCACCACCTTCACTGTGATCGGCAGCCGGGACACTGTGCTGGCCACGCTCATAGGCCACACCTTTTAACACAAACATAGGGGAATCAATGATGTATTACTGATATGGTTTGCTCAAAACCAAACCACAAAATGTAAAAAAAATATATAAATAAAAAATACCTTGTGAGTCTGCATGTGTTTCTTCACATTGGACTTTTGAGCGAAGGCTCGTCCACAGACGATACACTGAAACGGTTTCTCCCCTGTATGACTGCAAAGGGAGAAAAATTAATTGCGAGTAATATATATCCCAATAAGCAAACATCTGCCTACAAGCTGGGATAACTCACCTCCTGATGTGCTGCTGAAGATCAAAGTTTTTTGAAAAGATCTTGTCACAGAAGTTACACTTTAGCTTCAGACCTTTCCCCTTCAGTTGCTCTGTTAAAGAGTGAAAAATCAGTGAATGTTTTATAGTTGATAACCTTGTTTTGTACATTCTTTTAGTAGCCTGTAAACTTTAAAACTATTCTATAGCTTAAGTGAATTTAATGGAGGAGGGCAGAAATTCTTGTGGAGGATACTTTTATTTATCCATTTATGTATGAAGGCATGGAGCAGAATGAGGGCCAAAATTAAGACTATTTCACAACCAGCAGTTACTACATCCTTGTAGCAGGAGGTTATATCTATTCCTAAGCCAGCTATCGATCTGATTAATGACAGGACGGCACCGGTAGCTGAGAGGCCGGCGCTCGCAAATGAGGAGACTATTCCTTTGTGTTAGCCTTGGAGAGGCTAGCGACTAGCATGGATAAGCTGGCGTTAGCCTTGGAGAGGCTAGCGACTAGCATGGATAAGCTG